GGAAAATATATACATGTTTCTTCATGTCTGTATACACGCATGCCCGTCCTCGCTCTCCCTCTCTCTCTCTCTCTCTCTCTCTCTCTCTCTCTCTCTCGCTCGCTCTCTCTCTGTTGGTGGCAAGGCCTCATAATGGGAAGCGGAGTAGAAGGTGCGAGCATGCAGGGGCCTCAGCTGCTCATTAGCGAGCCGTTTGACCCTCAACTTGACTAACGTCCTTGCTGAGGAACGCGCCCGATGCAATGACCCGCATGGGCCAATTGTTGTGCAGGCCAGCATTGCACTCTGTGCAGCGACCATGTAGTTGATAGGTTGCAGCATGTTGCAGCAGAAAAGAAGTTCAAGATAGCTTTGAACACAAGTTGCTGCACTGCGGGTGCCAGATGGGCGCTGTCACAGTCGCCGTCGATAGGTCTCCTAGTGGGAGTCCGCCCCTCAGCTGCCGTCGCACGGCCTTGGTATCCTCAGATGATAGAGTACGTATACAGACTCTTCCCTAAGGTTGACTACGGAGTACTGTACAGTGTCAATGGACTGCTGCCGGCCCTCAGAATCACATCATGCCGTGCACAAATGACATTCCGCAACATTGCCCAGCAGCTCAGAGCCTGCAAGGTCCATGCAAAATAGCAGTGACAGCCGTGCCTTTTTCGGGCCGGTCTGCGCAGGTGCGCTTCACAATTCGCCACGTGTCATGCTGCACCACCCAAGCTACAAGCCAGCCATCGCACAGAATGTGTCAATCTGTCGCGCCTTTTGAAAGAACAAGCGGTCAGCACTTGGCTGAACTTGGGGCACTGAAGGTGCTCGGCAGCTGGCTGACGCCTCGAGGCACGAACCCCCTAAGCACATCTGCACTTTTGACATTGCATACGCATTTGGAACGAGGCAAGAAGGCATGGTCCACTTGTCCCTGGAAGCCAAACAGCAGCTCAGTGCGCTGAGATTTATTCCACTGATTTTGGGCAGCCGGCTCCCTAGTGTGGGGGTGGGAGGAATTGGTTCATTATCCAGAAGCTCAGAAACGACGAGTATGATTCAGACCCTTCTATCGTTCATCTTAAGTGGCTTGGCATCGGCCCGAATAGCATGACCTTTCATGCTGGCAGATACCCAAATTCTTTTAGCACTCTGTCCATGCTGCAATGAGTGGCTAAAGGTCAGAACAGGTTCTACCTGGATGCCTTTACGGAGGCGGACGGGTCCGTGTTGCTCGCTCGTAGCCTCGCATGCCATGCGGTGTGATTAGTAGCATTTCCGAAGGTGACTGACCCCAACGAGCAGAAGGGTGAAGAGTCGCGGCCTCTTCTAAGCCTCGTCGACGAAACCCAAGCCAAGGAGAAAACTTGCCCTGAGCAGTTACATGCCCCAACTTGGTAACCAGATGGAATCCTACTTCAACGAGTGAATCTTGCCCGAGATAAGTACGTCAACTATAGCAGTGTGTCAAACCACATCTGAAAGCCGTGTGAAAGACCGAGTCATGACTATAAGACTGTAAGTGTTGCTGCGCGCAGGACGTGGCAAACAGATTGCTGCTTGATTGCACATGCTTGCTTCTGTCTCAAGTACTTCACAACAAGTCAAAAGCCGTCTCTGAGTCTCAGGTCTTATGAAGAATTCAAAGACCTCTTGCAGCAGTATCAGGTAGACTTGTCCAAATTTGGCAAGGTGGGCCAATTGGTAGGCTTTTCAAGACTTGCACGTGCTGGAGATGCTTTGCGATTTGCACGTGCAAACAGGGCAACACCAAGCCATTGCAAAAGTTTTTTGAGTCCGTGGTAATCGAAGAAAAGCTGGGGACCCAGCACCTGACACTTGCGCTCAGACTTTGGTCTGTGCCATAAGCAAACTTTGCCTCTCACAGGGCATCTCTCAAGGTGCTTCTTGCAGCTCCGGGGCAACTCCCTGCAACGTTTCGTCGAGCTCGTGCGAGTTCACTTACGTTTCCTGGCTGATGCACACGAAACTCCTTCGGATTTCCTCCTCAGAACAGCGAACAGCGCTCTGAGGCTTTCGCAACAACGAAGGCCGGCTGCAGGAGCTCAGGATAAAGACTGAGCGCTGGCCTTGGGCCAGCCAAGCGCACTTGGGCGTGACGACAGCTTTGGGATGCTGTAAAGCGGACAGAGCCCGTTGCACTCGCTTGCGCTGAGGATGACCGACGCGGGTACAGAGCGGGAGAGGAATCAATTGTTGGCCATGGCGGGGAACTAAGAAATGCGTTCGCTGACCACTTTTCTTGTCCGGTTGCTCGGCTAAGGTCATGAGGCTCAAAGACCAGGGAAGCTGGAAGCAGGTCGAAGTTGCGGAATTTGCGAAACGCTTGATGACACTGACAAACTTGCTTATCTCAGAGCTCTGCGCCAGCTCAGCCAGGATACCGTGAAATCTCATATACAGGGCACTGAGAGCGCTGGAACTCTGTCACTGCGTCTGGACCAGGCCCTGGAGCGTTGCTTTGAACAGAAGTTTTCGATCTCCGCGGGCGTTGCAGCCTTAGCCTTCGGAAGAAGTGTTGCGGAAGTGTAGGTGGCCCGGTGACCCTTTCTGGAATCAGGCGCAAGCCAGTCTTCTTTACGTCGCCAAAGATGTGCCTCGGCAGCAGGAGATATATGCTCAGGAGGCTGGGTGCACTGCATGCTTAAAAGCGTTGCCGGTTCAGGATGACACGACAGGACCAAGCACATTCAGCATTTGACATCCTTTGCTGAAGTGTTGAAGCGCCTTGTTGTCGCAGGCCTTTTGCAGCGAGTGACATGCATGGGAACAGTTGCAGCTTAGTATCCTGTTGTCTTCCAGTGGTCGTCTGCCAAGCCAGCCTGCCATCACGGTGCCCACCGTAGTACAAAAAGCAACGCCATGGCAATCGACCTGAACGAATCTGGCGAGCACGAGGATGGGGCTGTCGAAGAGACTATGGTAGAAGAGGAGATCTTGGCTTGTCAATTCGCCTCCTGGTTTCCCACGTGCTCTGGCAGCAACCAAGGTTTTTCTTGGGTCCCTCCTTCAGGTTCCAGATGTTTCCAAAGAGATCCTCAGGTTCAGGGATGTGACCTTCAAGAGCGAGATCCTCCCACTCTCCGAAAATTTCATCAAATACCTCCTGGCTGATGGAATTCATGTTCCATTATCGAAGCCGAAGGAATCGGATGGGGCAAGCGATGGTAGCTGGGGATCTGGTGGCGATTCTGCCGATGAAGCAGAGGATCTGGAGGGAGTTTTTGATTTTCCGGAGCTTGAGGAGTCGGTTCGTTCAGCAATCTCGCGTCTGAATGGACAAGTCTTGCCGAAGCTCAACTGGAGTGCACCGAAGGATGCCCACTGGATTCACGGGAGCTTAAAATGTACAACCCCGGCCGAAGTCTTCACGCTGCTCAAGGCCTCCGACTTCGTGTCTCATGATTTGTGCCATGCCTTCGATCACTGCGGGCCAGTCGCCCGCAGACGACCAGATGACTTCACCTTGGTGTTGCGCCGTTGGCATTCGCTCCACGAGTCCAGCGAGTTCAGAGCATTTGTCAAGGACACAGATCTCGTTGCAATTTCTCAGCGTCAAACTGGCTGCTTCTTTGAGCACCTGCTGAACACAGAAGAAGTCGAAGCCATCCAGGCTGCGATCCAAGAGTTCTTTGAGCAAAAGTTGCGAGAACGCTTCAGATTGAAAAGGTATGTCTTCGATGTGTATGTCGACATACCACCCAGGCGCCGTGTCTGGCTAGTGGACTTGTCCCCGTGGGGCCCGACAACAGATGCGTGTCTGTTCGACTGGGATGACCTGGCGGACATGTCAGCAGCGCGCTCACCCGAGCTTCGCGTGGTGCAGAGTGAAGCCGAGCGCCGCGGCCGACTGGAGAATTTCCACCAAATTCCCCTGGAGCTGGCAGAACTGGGCTCCAAGGAGGGCTTGTCGGAACTCATAGAGAAGGCCATGATCAGGTTTTTACCATGTTTCCTCCATGTCGCTGTTGCACGTATGTGTAGATGTGTAGATGATGCATTCTGTGCCGATGACTGATTATGACTATAGCTCCTTGGCCCTGCTTTGCGCTGGCTTTCTCTTCTCTGTCCCAGCCTGCAGGCAGACAAGATCTTAGCGCAAAAGGAAGAGCAGTCCTGACTCCTCCGACGTAGTGGATTGAACTTGCCAGAAGCTGTGCACGGTCGTTTGAGAGAAAAGGTGCATGGCGCTTTATTGTGGTTCGAGCTCAGCTAACTAAGTATTCAAATTCGCAGCATGCTGTCGTTGGTTGTGTAGGTAATGGTAACCACGCCGCGGCATCTCACGCTACCGAAAATCTCCCGAAAATGTGTGCTGCCACCGTTTCCCCTGCACCAAGGCATACAAGTACGAAGAGTACAGCGCCGAGTCTGAGACGGTTCCAGACATGACAACCACCTACAAGACGCACAGTGTTGTGGTGACCATCAAGGAACATTCGGACTCAATGCGAGCCAAGCTGCTTGCAAGTTTCCGGCATCTTGTTCCATCTTTTGGAGAGGACAAGACGCGAAAAGAGCTCGCGAGCATGGGTCTGCCGGCCGGCGAGGAGTGCACATTGATGGTTCTGTCTAGAGCACCGACGGGAACGTAAGCACTGAAACCAGACAACGCCTGAATGAGCAGGACTTCAGCACCGATGATGGCAAGACGAGGCCCTGCCAGTGCTAATAGGGGGCTTTCTTGGCTGAAAGAGCGGCCAGAACTGGTTGATGTCTTTTGGCAGGTGGACGTGGGCGCCTGCGGGGCTCCCAGTGCTCTTCTATGAACCTCCATCTGCAAAAGCTGCAAATAGTACAGTAGCGTGTCCCACATCGGAGACTGCAAATCAGGTAGAGAACAACAAGGAAGATGAGCTTATGCAGCTCCTTTCCCAGCATGGCATCGCGATCCTGTTTGGTAAAGAAAGTGCTGAGGAGCTGTTGCTGTTCTGTGATGATGCTTCGCCACGGCCAGGTATAGATCTCAGTGAGTTCACCTGGCAGAGCTTCGTGGAACTTTATTCGGAGGCGTCTTCTGGTCGGATTGGTAGCTGTCAGTCGTCAAGCTGTGAAAGTTTTTGCCAGACATGATGCAGGTCTACGAGAAGTCTTTATCTACAATCCAGGTCGTTGATGGACAGTTGGTGCGAAAGGTCAAGGTGGTGAAAGTTTGGCTTGAAGCGAACTTGCTCAGCCAAAAGCAGCTCGGCAGACAATTCGAGAAGCGGCACTGCAAGCGTGACAGGCCAGGGGGAGATCGATCACGATCTAATTAAGGCATGTGCTGATCATCAAGACCAAGCAGCAGCAAGGCGTGGTTTCGAGCCCTCCTTCACCTGAAGTCTGCACCCTCAAGTGGTCTACATGAGATCTCGTGTTGTTGGGTGCTGTGTGTGCTTCCGTCGCCGTGGAATGACAGGACGCGTGCAGCACCTCCGCAACTTACGAACCTTATCGATGCGGATGCGAGCGATGCAACACTGGTCGGATGCCGTGTCTGAGGTGGACAGCTTGTTAGGACGTTTACAGTCTGGCACCGACCAGGTTAATGCCTTAACCCGACGGGAGGGTTTCGCATTCGGAGGCGCTCTTTCTTCGTCTCGGTGTCCCGGAGCAGCAGCAGAAGGACATGCTCAGCGTGACCAGATCTGAGACAAGGGAAGAGGCCAGACCCTGCCGCCGATGGCAGAAAATGTGCAATGTTTGATTGACCACCCTCCCTCAAGGTGGAGTTCTCGGTCACTTTCCCTGGCTTGAAGACTGTGTACACCATCATGGAGGTTCGATGTGAGGTGCTGAACCCACAGGACCCGTACGACCCCACCAGCACAGGCGTTTTGTTTCGTTCCACTGTTGATGGATGATGAGCGTGCCTCGAGTGGTCCCTGTCCTTTTTATTCCAAAACCCCTTTAAAGCCATTCTGAGTTAGGGGGAGGGTTTCGAGTCTCCAAGCACCCCTAGAGCACAGTAAGAGCAAGAGCAAAAGCAAGAGCAGGAGTTAGAGCAAGAGTGGGAGTAAGAGCAAGAGCAGGAGCAAAAGAGTGAGCAACAGCAAGAGCCGGAGCAGGCCCAAGAGACGCAGCAGGCGCCGGAGCGAGAGCAAGAGCAGGAGCAAGACGACGACCCCTCGAAAGTGGCAGTAGCAGTAGAGATAAGAATACCTCCCAACAATACAAACACTTCCCGAGTTTTTATTTTTTTTGGGGGGGGGGAGTGTTTAATATTAGAGGGAAGGGATGAAAGGGCTCCATCGGCAGGACCAGCGGTGGCAGTACATTGGGCTGCCGTCGGCGGAGGATTTTACATTCTGTCGGCAGGCCAGTCACGGGTTCACCATGCAAGTCCTTCCCTCGTACCAAGATTTCCGTACGGACTGAGCTGCACGGCCCACGGAGGAGCAGCTAGCTACTGGCGAGTACGACATGATTCTCACCAGGTGCTGAGCATGGGCTGTTGAGCATTTCGGGGTTGCATGGAATACATGCAGTCGACAGTGGACGAAGGTCGCAAGGAATGCATAGCAGGGGAACACTCGTTGCCGGAACGCCTCTGTTGCCCAAGCAGTGCCCGCCTTTGGCCAGAAGCTGCCTCAAGGATGGCTTTCGAGTTCAGTGTGTTTGGTGTTCTGGCTTGCCTGTGCTTAGCAGCCTCAGCGGGGCAATGGTCAGTCGGAGTCGTGCTGGTCAGCCTGATCGTCGTACTTCTGGGCATTCGTGCATATGTGGGTGTCCCTCCTACAATGAAAGGGAACAAGCTCCCGAAGCGGCGATTGGATTGATTTTGGCATTTGTTGAGCTTGTTTATGTGCAGTCAAGAGGGAGGCCAAAGGTTGGTACTGCTTGTCTGATCGTCATAAGCCCCGTCCACCCAGAGCTTGCATGAGCTTGACGTGTGCCACCCGAGATATGCCGGAAAGCGCTTTGAGCTGATCGCAATGCCGGTGAACCACTTCGGTGAGAAGGTCCGCTTCTGTTTGGACCTGCTGGGCCCCGCGGCAGCGGAGTTTTCAGATCGCGCAGAACTTTCCGCAGCAGCAACTTCCTTACAGTATGAAGAAGTGTGAGCGGCAAGGTGCTAGCTAGCAGCTAGCATTTCCCAAGTTTCTCGATCGACTTCAAAATCTCCTCTGAGGAGAGTACTGAGAACCTGCCTCCTCGGACTCCTGTTGTCAGTGACGCTGAACTAACCCTGGCACTGGCACTGTGCTCTGTGCAGATAACTTCCGTGCTTCCGAGTTATGGCCATGGTACTTCGCAGAATCGAGCCATGTGCAGGTGCTTTCGTTCATAAACATCTGACAGAAGGCGTAGGTTTGAAACCATACCGGGCTTGGAGCTCCAGCAGGGCCAACTACGAGTCGAACTGCTGTGGTAGTCGCGGGAGTCCTTATTTCAATCCTTTCAACGCAGGCCTATTGCTGCTTCATATATGCATGAATGAGGTCTTCCTTATGATGAAACAACAAACTGCGGCATTCTGAACATTATGCTCTTTGGCCAGTCGGTGCCGCAACTCAATGACAGGACCGGCGCGGTTTGTTCGTCAGATGCAGTCAGCTTTGACTGATGACCACTTGAGGGATGATAAAGACCCGAGATTAATTTTTAAAGTAGATGCGTCCGTACGTTGAGAGCAATCGAACTCCTTGTAAAACGACAAGAGTAAAAAAAGAACGATAACGAGTGTTTGTATTAGCTCAGATCATAGACTCCCAAAGTCCTGTAAAACGATAAGAGTCCAAATAAAACGATAACCATGTTAAGGGTTAAGCAAATGGGTGGGGGTTTTCACGCACCCTCACTTGTTGTAGGGCTTACTTCCGGAAATGGTCGTCTTCTCGATTCACTCAAGCCAGCCAGGAAAAGCTGCAGCCACATTGGCAATTCCGATGAAATCTTGCGATACCTGCATGGTTTGTACGCTGCGAGCAACAAGGCAGCGGATGCATTGCTCAAGCAGAGTGACATGACGCTTGAATGGGAGCTCGCCTTGACTCTGAGCTGACAGAAGCCACGGCTTTCTTCAGGTTGCTTTGTCAAAGGTATCCATGAATAAATGTTCACAATATTTATTCGCTGGTTCTAGGGGTTGAGTTTCAGTTAATGCGCCGTTGAAGGAACGACCTTGGGCATGCAATCCAGGGTTGGGCATATTACTACCTCCTGGGACAGGAGTTCTCAACTGAGCTGCCTGACTTGATTCAGAGGTAAGGAGCACGCTTGTCCGATGCCCTGTCAGCTGACATCTGTGGCTTCAATGATTCAATGCAACTTCGAATCTTGGTGCAGGACGGCCTTGGTTTGCTGGGGTGCATATGATGAAAGATGTCCGCTCGTGCAGAGATGCCGGCTTCCCAGGGCCACCGTGGCAGTAAACAGATCTCACTAGACAGCGCACGTTAGTAGCTCGTGCGAGATTTCAATGTCAGTTGCGCTCTTTCGCCCGGGCCCCTCCGGAATAGGAGACCCAGCTTTCGCACGATTCAGGTCTGTTAAAAGCCTTCGCCTTCCCGATCAAAGCCTTCATGCGTTCTGCTTTGAAACTGGACCGATCAGATCTGCGTGATGAACGCAAAGCCACCATAGATGACGTCTTGAAGCGTGTTGATGCCGCAGTCGGACCTGACGGGAAGGGCTACATCGTTGGCGACCAGCTGACGTATGTTGACATCACATTCGTCTCTCTATTAGCCCCGCTTCTGGTCAGCAGGCTTCTGTTCAAGGACCATGGTGGCATTAGTAAGCTTTTGCTTTCTGGGCTAGCTGCTGTGTGGTGCTGCTCACTTCTTGGCGCCGGCACAGGTGCCGATCCCAAGGAAGTGACAATTCAAGAACAAGTACCCTCAGTACAAGGCACAGGATGGTACTTCAAGGGTGTTGACATTCCCCCAAGCCCTTGTTGATGTCAGCAGCGATAGCAGCCGATAGCAAACAGGATCAGCAAACTATCCCGGTGGCAAAACTTGCTGGTGCCAATATGCTTATACTATACACGCATCCTGGTAATTTGGGAGCACGCACCATTTGGTGTTTACTTGGGCCCAGGATCCTTGTGCCTGGGCACGCGGCCGCTTTCGCTCCTTTGCGGAAGCTGGTAAACGTGGCGCACCCAAATCTGCACCGCCTGTGCTCCAGGCGCCACAGCCTGCAAAACACTGCTTTGGCATGATTGTGTGCACTAGAGCATGGCAGCAACAGGTACTAGCAGCTTAGTGATGCCTGATGAACATGGAAACGGGTGCACTGCATCAAGTACTGTAACATCCTGCCAAAGTCCGAGCGTGAGCGTCAAACTACCGAGAAAATCCAATCCTTTTTTTGCCTGGCACACCCGCCTCCCAAACATCCTGTCCTTCCATAGGTATTCGAAGAGGAGACCGCAAAGAGGCGTGGGAAGATTGCACCTGGTTTTTCCAGTAGTTTCTCTGTCGAGCTGAGTCCTGAAGCAATGACTACAAACTTCAGCATCTTGTTGGTCGTAGGCCCTGCGGGAAGTTCGTCGCTCGCATTTACGACGAGTACAGGAACAAGATCTTGTGACCAGTGCGACCTGGACAAACCCGCCGTTGCGACGTCTGCGCGCATGAGGCAGCAGCGTTCGCTTATGCGCTCCCGATGGGAGCCTCCCCCGATTGTGTGCCCCAGCCATTGTTCGCCTTGGCGGCCGTAGAAGAAAGCGCCAGTGGGTGCGTGCCTGCGCAAGTGCCAATGCCTCCAGCCTGCACAGGGATGTTCGGCACAAAAGGGGCGACATCGCATGCAGTTCAACATGTTTGGTACAAGCCCGTCCGGCCACCTACTTCAACAGTACGTGGTTGCAGAACAAGCTTTTCCTGGGGCGGGCTAGGTCCGCTTTTGACACCGCCTTTCAATAAGCCCGGCATGATACACTTCTGAATCATCCTTGAGCCAGGTGGGGATGGACAAATGCTGCCGAGATTGAGCACCTGTCCTGCAGGTTATGAAAGGCAGTCCACTGTAAGTTATCAACCGTGCATTGGGCCGTGCCTCCGAACAAGCACCTTTTACACGTGCCGTCAGTTGTGAAACTTCCGCTGATTTCCGATTCGTTATACAGCTACGATTTTGCTTTTGGATTCCTTAGGTACGAGTCTCGCAAAGATCTCCGAAGGCGCCAGCGGGGAGCAATTTCTGCAACACACAAGTCATGCATTTGACTCCACAGGCCGAGCCATTATGACGAGCAGCCCAAGCATGAAGCACTGGCGATGCAGCTCGACAAGAGCAAGAAGCAGGCCCACGGAATGTCCATCGCGTGAGGTGACTGGATGTTACTGGATACCGACATGCCATGAGCTGCCTCAGCTGATATGACTGTGGTTGGCAGTCTTACCAGGTTGTCCCGCCTGAGCCGTTGCCAGTAAGCGGGCTCCTCACTATCCAGCTGTGGCCACCTGACTCTCGCAGCCTCAGCGCCAGAGCCTTTAGAGAGTTCAGGCGGCAAGGATGAGTTGCTCATCATGAGAGCCTTGGGCCTGGATGCTGCCAACGGGTACCTTGCTGCGTGCACCAATTGTCTAGGGTTGCGCCACTGGGCTGCGTCTGTCACGCAAGGTCATGGATGGGAAAGTCACTGACTGGACTCGAGCCCGTACAATGCTCAGACTTTGGCGATTGTGAACCTCAGCCTGTGCCGCAAGAGGAATAGCATCACTCCACACCGAAGGTCGAGCCGCTGAGCAGATTCGAAGTCCGAGCTACACGACGAAGGTGGCTTGCCTCATCCATGCGACTGCTGCACATGGCAAGCACGCATATCCTCTCGCCATCTCTCGCCACTAACCGCAACGTGCACCTTTGTGGTTTCATTCGGCATGTTGAGATGCTATTCGGCATAATATCGAAAGGTGCTAGAAACGTCAGGCACGCCATGTCGGAGGACTTACTGCCTGCATGCTTTCGGCAAGCAGGACTTCTACAGCGACTTGGTGGCGGCCTTCCCCGAGCTGCGGCTGTACTGCGTCTGCGGCTTAAGGGCGTGTCTTGCCAACGTGGTACAGTTGACCGGCTCGCTTGCGCTGGCGGGGTCTCGATCCGTCAGGTGGTTCGGGAGGCTGCGCCTCACGGTGAGGGCCGGGTGCTGTTGCCGTCCATCTCTACACTGACGACTTCAGCCAGTCGAACAGGCTCGCATCCAGATGCCAGCAGTCTTTGAGTTTAGGGTTTGGAGTTCTGTGTGGAACCCTCGCAGCACTGCAGCCTTGAGGTGAAGACGAGTACCAGCGCACCATCGGGGCGCTCTTCTGCATTTTCTGGCTGATGCGTACGCATCTTGACGGAAAGGACTGCCGCAGTCGCCTTTGCAGTTGTCGGCTCTCGGACCCACGTCCCTGCACAAGAGCCGGCGCTTTTCAGGAGTCCTTCTGCTTTGGTTTAGACGCGGAGTGGAAGCCGCGCAACAGGTCGCACTTCCAGGACAGTCCGTCTGGGTCCCTGTCGGTGCGGCTTTTCTGCGGATCTGTTGGAAGGAGCCAGAGCTCGAGGCTCGCTGGGATTTTTTGAGGCTGTTTGGCGACAGGGAACCCGAAGCCTAAGCTCGTAACGGCTCAAGGGTTTCTCTTCAAGTTTGCTCTTGAGTTGGCGGCCCTTGTCTTCGGCCAGGTCGAGTACAAAAAGCGAAAGAACTTCTACGAGAAGACCGACTGGGCGGCCATCGAAACCCTATTTGTCCGGCACTCAGCCAGTAGAAACATTGACTCACTGGAGAGGCGAGCGAACGCGGACTTCCCACGACTTTTAAGTGGAACATGTGCGTTCGTAGATGTGGAGGTCGGAGCCGGCTTGCTGAAGAAGGTGCGGTTTTGTAGTTGCCAGCTGGCACTTCCAAGCATAGCTGCTTTGGTTGCTGTTGCACCCGTGAATTTAAAGGTCTCTGCAGTCTCTCAGTTGGCTTTGGGAAAAACGGGTGGACTTGGATCCTTCGGTGCCCTCGTTTCGATGGTCACCATCACAGTGCTTGGGGCCAACGTTTGCTGCAGCCATCCCCATGAGAGCTTCAGGAGCAAAGTGCTTGGGTATCTTCTGCCTTAGAGAAGAGCAGGAATAACTCTCCTCGTGGTGTTCTTTTGAAGAACGCTTTATGACCGGTCCATACAACATCCTCTGAGCACGGGCTTGCCGGTTAGAGCTAGCACAGAATCGCGCAGGCTGGTGGCCCACACGATGTCGAAAGAACACTCGCAATGCCTCTTGTCTGTCCCAACTCATGGTGGTTCTCGGTTCGGAAAGCCGACATCCGCAACTGCGGTGCGTCCAAGGCTAGTCCTGATGACCGTGCACGATGTCATGAAGCTTGACATCCTCCGCCCGATGGTTGGAGTGGGAGAGCCGTTTGCTCAGATTTCACATAGGCGATGAAGTGCCTTTGGCAAGGATTGAATGGCGATCCTCGATGCTTTCGGTCGATACTGTAGTGTGGTATGAACCCCAGCTTTCTCGGAGATGCAGGTTCGCTGGCTACAAAAACGGCGAGCCTATCGGCGACCATGACGTAGCTTTAAGCTATGCCAGCTCCTGAGTCCGAAGGACCCGAAACGGCGAGACGGCTTGACAGCTACTGAAGTTGCATTCCCACGGCGCCCTCTTACAAGGTGCTGGAAAGGTGCCCTCAAGCCTTGCCGTCCTTTGCCGGGCTTTCGACCGAAATGCAGGAGAGCATCAAGCTGCTTGGCAGCTCGAGGTTTTATCCAAACAGGTAGGCGTCAAAACGGGCCGGAGCTGGGCGAAAGCTAGCCGCTAGCCGCCAGCGGCCTGGCAGGTCCTAGCTAATGCCAGAGAAGGATGGCTGGCAATGCTTTAGCCGACTCTGGCAGCACCTGAGCGCCACTGTGGCTTTGAGGTTCACGCACTGCAAGTTGGACTACAATATGGGCACAGAGCTTGGCAAGCAACACTGACACTGCTTGCCACGCATTCCAGCTGCCAAACTCCTGAGGCTGGCTTGTGCAAGCAGAGGCTCCTCCTGGAGTGGCGGCCTCAATTTTGGAAGTTCGAGGGGGCCAGATAGGTGCGTGATTCCATGCTTCAGCATCGCACGTGGACGCCAGGCTTTGTTCAAGGCCTTCCGAAAGGTTGTCCTAGCAGGAGCTGCTTCGGACCAAAAGTCAGCAAGCACCTCAGAATGCTGCAGATGATTTCATTCAATGTCCTGCTTACGCCGACTGACGGTGGAAGTGTTTGTTCTGACGTGCCACAGAATTTCCTTCCAGAGACGACATGTCAATCTGCTGCTGGCGAGGCCAGTAACATTGCCTTCTACTTCGTTCACTGGCCCCTGCCCTGATGCGACATACGTGGTTAGCCGGCACTTGCAAGATTCGCCTGAGTCTCAGACTGGCCGTTTCAAGGTTCGCGGATTTGGCTGGAGCAGAAGCTTCTCCGTTGCAAGGCATGGTGTGCACCCATGCTGTTTGCATTGAGCTAGGCTCCGTGCTACCGAGTGTCGCATGGAAAGGCTGCGAAAAGTTTGTGCTGAAGTTCCCTCAGCAAGTTCTCGGCAGCTTCATCGACTCCTTCGCTGTCGCACCAGCCCCAGGGAAGAAATGGAAGAAGAGGCAGCTTAGGATTCAAGGCGTAAACTTTTTTTTCTAGGTTGGCTGACACGGTTCGCCCACAAGAGTAGCAAGAGCTGTCATGTTGGCCGTGACATGCTTTGCGCCCTTCAAGAGTATTGGCTTGGAAGTCTCAATAGGACGACTCGAATGCATCATTGCCTGCACGTTGCCCGCAGGGCAGTGACAGGAGTGGGAAGAAGTGCCATCAGCTCGTTCCGACCTGCTGCACGTTCCTTCATCTCAGACGCACTTGGTGCCAGCTCGTCAGCATCCTCCAGGTTGGTCGCCTTGAGCCGGGGCAGGATTTCTCCTTTCTCGACAAGTGCCGAGATGCTGAATGGGCGGCCTTCTTCTCAGGACAAGTTCAAGTTCGGAAAAAGGAAAGAGCTGGGCCTTGCGCTGGCGTCTGTCGCAGCCTTGACGGCCGCTACGGCAAGCGAGAGCGAGGTGAAGGCGGTGAAGGCCGATGATCGAAGCCACGAGCTGTCCGGGGACGAGCAGAGAACCGTTTCCCTCTTCGAACGTTGTAGTGGGTCTGTAGTCCACATCAGTACTTTTGTAAAGGACAAAAGCCTTCTTCGAGGCGCTTTCGGTATGGCGCACGTAGACATGCAAGACATCCCACAGGGAACTGGAAGCGGATTTATGTGGGATTCGAGGCACATCGTGACCAACTACCATGTCATCAAAGATGCCGACAAAGCAATGATCGTCTTTGCTGATCACACATCTCGTGAAGCATTCTTAGTCGGACATGAGCCAGACTTTGACTTGGCGGTGCTGCGGTTTGAGAAGCCGGATGAGCTTGAAATCAAAGCCCTCGACAAAGGCTCCTCCAGCCGCCTTCAGGTGGGTCAAAAGGTTTTTGCGATCGGCAACCCGTTTGGGTTGGACCAAACGCTGACCAGCGGCATCGTGAGTGGTCTCGGTCGGGAGATGCGTGGCAAGACCGCATCATTAGTCAGTTTTTTTTTCGCAGTCTCTCTCTCTCTCTCTCTCTCTCTCTCTCTCTCCCTGCTTTGCAAGAGGCAAAGAGTCCTAGCGTTCAGCGTGTCCTTTCTTCACGTGGTGTCGAGGTGGCATCTCGGGGCGCATGTTGCGTGGGCTTGTGCAGACGGATGCCGCTATTAACCCGGGTAACAGCGGAGGCCCACTGCTTGACGCCAGAGGCCGCCTCATTGGTGTGAACACCATGATTGCAAGCCCTTCCGGAGCCTTTGCCGGAGTGGGCTTTGCAATCCCCGTCGATACTGTAGCACGAATTGTGGATCAGATCATCAAATATGGATTTGCTAAGCAGCCCTTCTTGGGCTTGTACATGGCCCAAGACAACGTTAAACAACAGCTTTCGCGATTGCTGTACCGTCAGAGGATGCGTCCAATCGAGGGAGCCCTCATCATGGGTCTAGAGCCTGAAGGCCCTGCAGATCAGGCGGGTCTCAGACCTTGTATTCAGACGATGCGAGGCATACAGCTGGGCGACGAGATCCTGTCGATTGATGGGAAGAAAGTCAGCAACCTGGATGACATTTTCGAGGCCCTGGACCAGAGAGAGATCGGCGAAACGGTAAAGGTGGTTTACCGACGACGATCGGATGGCCACGAGAAGGACAGCAGCACATCCCTGCGACTTGCAGAAAGACCCGTGCGCCCTCGAAATATCAGCAACCGGAGTTCGTCAGACGATGGGGGCGTTCTGGTTACTGAGAACGAGCGCAAGTCAAGGCTGTGAGAAACTCTGCGACGATGATGGCTGCATTGTGAAGCCAGCTTTCTTGTGTACAGTCCATGCTGACAGGCATGCTTGTAAATGTGTCCCGCGCAGAGGATGCCTTTAGGCAGAAAAAATCTGCGCCACATACTAGCCAGTACGTTTCGAGCTTAGAAAAGACATCTGCAAGAAGTGTTTTTGAGAGAACTGACAGACAGTAGTGAGGACATGGCTCCATGTGGACCCAGGTGTGGAATCTGGGCCCCAAGACTGAGACTGAAGTGTTTGAGGACTCTTGCGGCACGGTGCGTGAGAACAGCCAACCAAGTCTGCTGTGAGGAGTACTTAGTCTGGCGGTGGGGCAACATGGAGCAGCGCCTCGGCCCTGCTCCCACGGGCTCTGGTGCCATTGCCAAAATGCGACTGGTGGCTTGGCTGGATCAGGGAGCCGTGGAGCTCTCATGTCTGCGCAATTCCGGGCCGTTGGCTCTTGTGGCACCGCCTTCCAGGTCCTCATGGCACAGGGTGATAACCAAGAAGTTCTGAGGCAAGTAGGGCTATGTCGTGTGCTGACCTTTCTTACTGCACGAACGGCCTTTCGAGGCAGTTCAGCCGACTGAAGAAGGCAGATCAGCAGGTGTTGAGCCAGGCGCGACCGCCCAGCCATGCACCTTCTCACACGTCCTCTAAGGGTTCAGGACTGTGTCGGGCATAGCTTGGAATTGTGTACGCGCACATTGAGGAATTGGCTATCACAGGGTGCCTCAACCAGAAGTTCAAGCGGGACAGCTACAAGGACAAACATTTGCGAAAGCTGCTGCAACTCTGAACGGTTGGCGACGATGTGAGCATAAGTCTTCGGGCACTACACGTTTGGTTCCTGCTTGCAGGATGCCGGGGGTCCGGCAATCTTGGCCATGATCTCAGGAAGCATCGGGCGTCGATCATGAACCACCAGCCAACCCTCCAAGCAGCGTGATGCCAAGAGCTTCCAGCCACGCCGAGTAATACTCAGGTGTACTATGCACCGGCACTGATGCAGAAAGCTGGCAAGCAGGACATACATCAGAATGCAGAAAGCTGCGGGTCTTCAGATTGGTGGTGGTGGCCACCGGAGAAATTGAGTATCCGGTTGCAGGATCCGGCAGGTGCCTTGATCGTTATGGCCGAGATCTTCCGACAAGCACGGTCTCTGTGGCCATTGCGACTTTGGCACAGAAAAGCAAAACTTGGCTTTAGCACGGTCGTCCTCTGCATGTTGATCGGTGCTGGCGTAGCCACTCATCCTAGCGCAGAAACAGTCTCGTCCTTCCAAGACCGCCATAACTCGGCAACCCATATACAAGCTTCTGTTGGAGCCCAGGTCAAAAAACCAAGAAGATTGTGATAAGACAATCTTGGCCAGGAACTTACTCGTGTGCCATGCACAGCCACCTGGTCTGGTCCCAGCATGGATTTTCGATTTGCTGGGTGTGCTGTCAGCGCTATGAATGCCAAGGTTCGGATCGATGTCTTGAAAGAGATGCAGGTGCCTGTACATGAAACAGGTGTACTAGGCATGCCATAGTCCATAGTCAAGGACTGTGAATACGACGCCGATGTCACAAAGCACTTTCAAAATTGGAGTCTGAATCAAGTCGTTGCAACGAGTGGGTGTTCAGCAGGTCTCGGCGATCCTGGAGCCTCGACCAGACATCAACTACGTACTATGTAGGGCCGCTGCCTCGGGTCTTGAGCGACAGTGTACCCAATGCACAGGATTGTAATTGCAAATTGGGTGGCATGTTCTGTGCTGTTCAGGTCAGTTCACAGGACGCGCAGGTCAAGATTGTCAGCAATTTGGACATGAAAGAAATAGACAAGGCGACATGACATGAGCAATGTCGCCTGCAAGACTGTTTGTGCTTTCGCTTGCTCATGGTGTCTTCTACGGTAGTTGATTCACATGCGTTCGAACAAAGCACGAACATTCCGGCGAGGCAACACAGCGGCTGCTCAGATTTGGAAAATCGGACGAAGCTGAACCTGGAGGATGTTCGCCGTTCAGGAGCAGGCGGTGGCTCGTGGTTCGCTTCACACGCCATCCACGGTTCACCGCAGAGCATGGAGCTTGGACGAGCAGACTGGGTAGAATTGTGACAGTGTTCAGGTCACAGCGGACTTCTGCCAGGCCGCCGGAACCAAAAATGTTCGGTATTTCAGGGGATATAGGCAGCTGCTGCCAGTGACATTGGCACAGACCATTTTCGCAAAGCTCCACATGTGGCAAGACGAGTTAAAATATCGAAACAATCGATTTGCTCCGCAGTCGCGCAGGCTCAGCTTTTTGGCAAGAGGATAATCTCATGGCGTGTGGCTCCAAGCTTGTGCCTACTGCAAGACCACACAGTGAGAATGTGTTTGGATTTTCGGGTGTGGGGAAAGTCGGAACAGACCCTTGACGTCCCTTTCTTGCGAGGTCGGTCGGATTGTCAGGGTACATCCGCAGCAGTCTCACCTTCTATTTGTTTGTTTTTCAGTACATTTGCCAACAGCCTCGTGCTGCCATGTGACACTCTTCCGCCTAGATGGGCTTCCCCTGCCCACGGCCCTCAAAGTCGGGCAAGGCCAGCTAAACCCTTTAGGTGCATGCCGAATCTGTCAGTGGTCCAAGAGTACCCAGCACAAGCGTGCCTGCAGGCTCCCTGGAGGCACATTTGTTCAGTGTCAGTCGTGGCTAGTGCCGAACTAACAGTTCTTATCGCTACCTGCCGGCCGATGAACCCCGTACCTCGGCTGATCGGAGAATTCCTGGGAGCTTGGGCTGACAAACAAATCCTCAAGGGAATCGCAAGGAGCCCTTTCACATGGTAGCTCTCGTAAATCCTCGTCCCTTCTTGCACCCTGGAGGATGCTTTGAGTCTTAGCTGATTTGAACACAGCCTCCAAGAGGCGAAAGTCTAATAGTCTCCTTGAGATACGCGCACGAAGGACGCCTTGGGGGTATTGCATCTATGCAAGTTCTTTCCGATGCTACCAGTGAGCCAAAGTATGCTACCTCCTGGTGGCCTTTCATAGGCAACCCAGATCGAACACACGCTTGCTCGTGCCTCCCCAGCTGCGGACATGACTCAAACTACCCTCCTTATGTATGAACTACGAGTCTCGGAGAGGCCGGCAAGCAGGGTTCTGGTTTCTCCTTTCCTCAACGAGACACGGGTATTGCAAAAGATCTGCGCTTGCTGGATGGGTTTTATTTGGGCATTGGGATTGTAAATATTTTGCATCGTTGGAACAACACTGCAAATAGTGAGTACTTCGAGTCTTGTCCTACCTGTCCTACCTATCCTGTCTTACCTGTCCTACCTGTCCTTTTTGTCCTGCTTGTCCTGCCTACCTTTGCCCCGCCCTGCCCGCCCTGCCCTGCCTGTCCTGCCTGTCAGCCTCCTGCCCTGCCTGCCCTGCCCGCCCTGCCCTGCCCGCCC